GCACCATCCTCCCTCAATTGCGTGCACCATCCCCGTCGCCACTAATCCCAACACCACTAGACTAAGAAAGACAAACCAACGATAATAGTTGCCGGATTGGCAACCGCAGTTTTTTTACTTTTTTTTTTAAAGGGTAGGATGACGAACGAGCACGCAGTCTACCTGATGGTAAGTGGTTGCGGTGGCCCATAGACATCTACACCTATCCTCGATCATCTTGTCACCCGTGAGGACTAAGATGAAATGCCTCATTTCCAGTAAAAAGGGTCTCCGGTTCTCTACACTCACCATACGAAACACAGCAGCAGCGCGGTTGTATTAGTCACATATGTATCCTTATCGAGCGTACGGGTTAAGCCACTATTTGATGTTGGTATTCTGTGAGAGCGTGGTTCTTCTCCGGTCGAGCGGACCCATTCGTGCTACAACTATACTACTAATATAACTGCAGCATGGCTCTGCCACGTACAAAAACTTATAGTCGTTATTAGAAATTCGGGGCTGCCCATGTCCTGGTTTGTTTCCCTTTGTCGCCTCTTACAATAGCCATGGGATGATATGGGGTAGTGGATATTCCGACACTACAATTTATTGTAAATTAATAAAAAGTGTAAGTACATTTTTCAATTTCAGGTGACCGATCTTCTCAAAGTAGTGAAAACAAATTTCGTAGTTTTGAAGTTACTCGCTGGCGGCCACAAACGGGAATCGACCGCGCCTCCGGAGTTTGATTTCTCTGTACATAGACATTTCCCTATCATTAAGTTAGTTTAATTTTGTAGAAATGAATTGTAATACATTTTCTATATTAGGTATATAAATGTGTATTTATGAATTATAAATTTCAGTCATGTATTTGTTTTATTTCATTTTAAATGTTTAAACTTGTTTTCAGTGAATAATGGAATATAATTTGATAATCATTATATATTTTAAAAGTTAAAGTACAACCTATATACGTCCCACTGCTAGTTATAGGACTCCTCTCATTTTTGAGAACGTTTTAGGGCAAGGAAATGTCCGCCGCACTGCCCCAATGCGTGTTGGCGAACTTCACATGACTTCTAAATATTTTTGTTATTTCTCAGATATGCATATTTCTTTACTATGTTTTCCTCCACAGACGATACGTGGTATCATCATCATTACAGCCCTTCACAAGTCCACTGCTGAACATAGGCCTCCCCCAATTAATGGCACAAAGCACGGTCCTGAGCCACCTGCATCCATCGACTTCCTGTATGTCTTACCAGGTCGTCACTCCATCTAGTGGAGGGTCGCCCTACACTACGCCTACCGGTACGAGGCTGCCACTCGAGAACCTTTCTTCCCCATCGGTTATCGGTTCTTCGAGCTATATGGCCGGCCCATTGCCACTTCAGCTTACTAATCCGTTGGGCTATGTCGGTCACTCTGGTTTTACTGCGGATATCCTCATTTCTGAGTCTATCACGCAGTGAAACTCCGAGCATAGCCCTCTCCATAGCTCGCTGAGCGACCTTGAGCGTCCTCATACGGCCAGCGGTGAAGGACCACGTCTCAGATCCGTAAGTCATCACTGGCAACACGCACTGGTTATACACTTTAGTTTTCAGAGATTGATCTCGTCAGGTATACCGACGAGAAGATGTGTCGTAATTTCCCGAACGCTGCCCAGCCGAGTTGAATCCGTCGATTGACCTCTCGGTCGAAGTTGGACTTACCTAGTCTGACTATTTGTCCCAGGTAAACGTACTCGTCAATAACTTCGAGCATAGTGCTCCCAACAACTACCGGCATAGGTGTGACATGGACAAACATAATCTTTGTTTTGTCCATGTTCATCTTAAGACCTATCCGTTGCGAGACACCATTGAGGTCATTGAGCATAGTGCTAAGGTCCTCCAGCGATTCTGCCATAAGGACTATATCGTCGGCAAATCGAAGGTGAGTGATGTACTCGCTATTGATGTTAATACCGTAACCTTTCCAGTCCAGTAGCTTGAAAACGTCTTCCAACGCAGCGGTGAAGAGTTTCGGGGATATAACATCACCCTGTCTTACACCTCTCTGCAGTTGGATAGGTTTCGTACTCTGGTTCTGTACTCGGATAGCCATCGTAGCCCTACTGTACAAACACTTCAGCACTTCAATATACCGATAGTCAACTAGGCACCGCTGAAGAGACTGTAGCACCGCTCAAATTTCGACGGAATCAAAGGCTTTCTCATAGTCCACATACGCCAGGCAAAGTGGCAGATTGTACTCTTCGGACTTCTGTACAATTTGCCGAAGGGTATGTATGTGGTCTATGGTACTGAAGCCTTTTCGGAAACCGGCTTGTTCGGGAGGCTGGAAGTCGTCGAGTCTGCGTGCGAGACGATTCGTAATGACTCCGAAAACAGCACGTAGACGCGGCTCAGTAGGGAAATCGGTCTGTAGTTCTTCAAGAGAGCGTTGTCGCCTTTCTTAAAGAACAAGACCACCGCGCTTCTGCTCCACGCCTCTGGAGTAGTGCCACCTTGGAGGACGGAATTGAAGAGCTTCTGAAGGACTTCAAGTACCGGTGTTCCACCCGCTTTCAGAAGCTCCGCTGTAATTCCATCCTCGCCCGGGGTCTTGCCGTTTTTAAGGTGGTGGAGAGCCATTCTAATCTCGCTCAGACTGACGTCCGGGATATCATGGGAATAGTGTCGGATAAGACTTGCTCTTGGATCGTTACTCACACTTGCGTGTGGCTCCAACGATGATGTGTACAGCTGCCCATAGAACCTCTCAATCTCACTCAGAATCTCAGGTGTCCCGGAAACGATGTTGCCATACTCAGTCTTCAGCCTTGACAGTTGGCTCTTTCTGGCAGACAGATCTCTGGCAAAGACTTTGGAGCCCTGGTTCCGCTCGATCGCTTCTTTAATACGAGCAGTATTAAAGTTGCGTAAGTCTCGCCGCATGCATTTGGAGATCTGTCTGTTCAGTTGCCTGTATACTGTCAAATCTGTTGACGATTGCAGCCTCATCTCCCGTCTAACAGCCATGAGATTAAGAGTGTGATCGGAGAGTTTTTGTGTTCTTCTGCGGCGGGTCTTGCAGAACTGAGCTCCGACCGCATGGACAGTTTCCACGAGCTTGTCATTCATATCGTCCACTGCATTGCAATCCTCTAGGCACTGAAAGCGGTTTTGTAACTCGAGCTGAAAGGTTTCGGGATTCTGGATTAGAGCACGAGGGGGACGGAGCGTTGACTTCATTAGACGAGACCTCTCCAACTTAATATTTAGGTTCAGTGTGCCTCTAACCATTCGGTGATCGCTGCCAGTTTTCACCCTTGCGATCACTGAGACATCACTGAACAGTTGGCGTCTGGTAGTCATAATGAAGTCAATCTCATTTTTTGTCGAACCGTCGGGGCTCGACCAGGTCCACTTCCCGTGGGGCCGCTTCTGGAAGAAAGAGTTCATCATAAAGAGTCTCTCTTTCTCCATAAAGTCGGGCAGCTGCTGGCCCCTTCGGTTCCGTTGCCCTACTCCAAATTTACCCAACTTCAGCTCACCGTTTTCTCTTGTGCCTAGTTTTGCGTTGAAGTCTCCCATCAACACCGTGTAGTGGGTTTTGGAGGAATGCATGGCTCTGGAAATATCCTCATACATTTCCTCCACCTCCTCATCGGGATGTGCCGAGGTTGGTGCGTAAACCTGTATGACCTTCAGCGAATACCGTTTGGTGATTCTGAGTATCAGGTATGCGCGACCCTCGTCGACACGCTCCCTATCTTTACAACATTATTGACGAGAGACTTGTGGACGATAAATCCGACACCTCCTTTGGACAGATGGTCGCCCTCCCGGTGGTAGAACAAGTTGCCGACTCGAGGATTGCCGTATCCTCCCCTCTCTTCGGACCTCGGATAATCCAATAATATGCCAGCGCAACTTGTCTACCTCTTCTTCCAGCTCCAGTATCTTCTCGTCAGTCCTCAGAGTGCGTGCGTTTTATGTTGCCAGGTCGAGTCGTCGTAGGTGGCAACCGAACCTCCACCGGAGATTCTTAGCACCCCCTGCCCCGCCGTTACCATGGTCGCCACCGTAGCCAGGAATAGGACTGGGGGCCGTTTTTTTGCGTCGTTATTCATGGGGGGATATTTGCCATAGTTGCCACGCTTGGCGAGCGTGGCAACTATGGCAAATATCCGTTTGCGTTACCATGGTCGCCACCGTAGCCAGGAATTGCGGGGCCGCCGGGGACTGGGGGCCGTTTTTTTGCGTCGTTATTCATGGGGGGATATTTGCCATAGTTGCCACGCTTGGCGAGCGTGGCAACTATGGCAAATATCCGAGCGTTTTTATTATTTAAGTTGTTATTAGGATGATGCTGCTGCTCATCTCCTGTTCCGATTTCTCTCTATCGCTTCTTACAACCCCCAGGAGATGATATAGGGTATTCTTACTCTGCATCCACTGATCATGAGTATTGCCGGACGTCAGGTTTTGGATTCTTTTTAACTGATTTGGAATTTATTGGTGCGGGCGGGGGTAGAACCAAAGGGAAATTTTCGGCAAGAGCCCCTCTGCTAACACGGCTCCCGAAATTTTTGTCATGATAACACATTTGGACGTTAATTTCGAATTGAAGATTGAATATAGAATAATTATAATGAAATACTCTTTTCTTACCATTTTTATGTTTTATTTTTAATATATATTACATTAAAATTTTTATACACAAAATTTAAATTATTTTTCTTCCGCATATTAGAGCAAATTGATGTTTTACAGTAGTAGACATTATATAATATTAATTTTTATTTCATCTCCATCCTATATAACAATAAATTAAATATGCAAGCTATTGGAAGACTCCTGCCATCTGAAAGTACATAGGTAAAATCGTATTCTTAGTATGGTTGTCGATTTTAACGAAATTTATGAAATAATTGATAGATAAACATAATATTAGAAAAAATATTACATTTTTGCATAACCATAGTAAACATATTTTATGTATCTTAGATAATTATGATTTTTTTATTCCTCTTCATCAGTGTCGGCGTCTGACACATCTGTATAGCATTCGTGTTCGATTGTTTTTACCTTGAGGAAATCTGTGGCTTGCGGACCTAAAATGAAATCACATTTTTAAAATTATACGAAGTAAAAGATTACATACGGAAATAATTATCCCTTTTACGTTACTTTAACAGTACACAGACAGGAAAAGGGTAGGACGCTCTTGTACACAAGCAACACGATAACAGATAAAATGAGTTCAGAATGAAAATGTTCTATCGAGCTTTCAAATATTGGAAATTGTCATAAATGTAACGCTTCACAGGTGGGTTGGTGATCGCATTGCCAGACATCTCGTACCTGTGATAAAGGTAAAGCCCCGTCACAGGTAAAAGTATTTTATATCTAGCATAAACGAGATGGTTATATCGTCATCGAAGCTATGAGACGAATGGAACGAAATGAAGTGATTAATTATATTATGCATTACCATTACGCGGTATTCTACACCATGCGGTATTCGCCATCACATTCGCAAACCCTACGCTTGCAGTGTGTAAACTTCTCAACATTTTTTATTCGTATATAGTCCACAAATGGATGAAAACATACTCTTCCCTATTAAGCCTTGGGGAGCTTGTTTTAAGGAGGTTAGCGATAACGTTTGGCAGACGGATTAGCGGGCGCGGTCCAGACATTTTACACCTTTGACACCGCTCTCTGTATTTTACATTTAGCAAAAACGTGGAAATTCGCCATTTAGCGGAGATCAGATTTCAATTTTTTCCAATTATTCGTTCTTATGCCGTTATCTCCCTTAATTTTTAAGCTATTGCATAGCTTCTATCGCGGGCCTTGAGCGCGGGGACCGAATCCAGAAATTCCGTAACGAAAAAACACCTCACGCTCCCCCACTCCGACGGGCACGGAGGTGTGGCGTTGAAAGCCGTGCATCGTCTAACGTCGTTTCAGTTCGGCAGACTTCGGCACTCGGCAGAGTTCGGCACGGTGTTTGTGTGCGTGCGACTAGACGTATGCGTGTACACTAGCTGCTAACTGAATGATAAAAATTCCTGAATAACCTACATGTATTGTAAGATATTAAAAATATTTTAAACAATATTAACTTCTCATTTATTCAATAAGAGAAAAAAATTGTTTTCTTATCGGTCACCACTCTCAAAAAGTGTAACTTGATTTAATATCATAGACTTAACTGCATAAATAAAATAAATAAATAATTATAATTGCATAAGTTGATAAAAAATGCTATGCAATAGCTTTACCGCGGCAGTCACCGAGTGCCACACGTATTTTTTTTTCTTTAGCTACTGGACGCTGTTTACTACCGTGTAGTGGCGGTGTAAGAATATTCACTAACCCATCCTACCTAGACAGAGTAAAATGAAGCTGGAGATGGCAACAACATCGTGCTGATAACTCAAAATATCTAATATAAATTTTACGATTGGCAACCCGCTTGCCAAGTGAGGCATCCGATAAAAATTACTCTGAAGGTAAAATACAACGCAAGTGAATTAAAAATTACAGTTGCATGAATAAAATAGTTCAACCGTTGCACTTTTATTTTCAGTCAGGTTATAATTTTTTCGATGGATAACTTTTATCTGAGTGAACATATTCAAACTAGTATTTTTATTCCGATTTATACAAGGCTTATGTCTGAAATGGATAAGAATGATGGTAAAATAGTATTGTATATCGGTAACTCAGTTCAGCTTAAATTATGTAAAGTGGTATTACACTGAACATGTGCTTAGTGAAATTTTATTTTGTGATTGTGACCATGGAACTAGAAATAAGGGCGGACGCTGTCTCTTTAAATAATTACTGACGCACCCATAGTAAGTCAGTTCGCTAATACAAACAAGCCGGCACGCACACATGCTCACCATAGTAAGTCTACCGCCCGCCATTACCCTCTAAACCGCGCTTGCGTAGTTACTCACACATAGTTACGCGGCCGCCATTGCGGTGCGTCAATTGTTTCTTAGCGATACTCTGTCCGCCCTTTTTTCTAGGTTCATGATCGTGACTAACAAATTATATTTATTTCAAAAGAAATATGTATACGTTGCGTTTGGTGATAGTTACTCGCCTTCAGTATAAACTACATTAGTGCCGAAGTCCTGAACGGGTGTTGGTGTTATGGGACGGTTAGCGTATGATGGCCCCGCTTTTTCAGGCTCCGCTTCGTCATCACTGTATATTGTTATTTCTTCCTCTTCGCAGTCTTCTATCTGAATTTTAAACAGTAAAATATTAAAGTATCCTACCTAATGTGATTACTAAGGAATTTGGTGATCGGTTAGCATGGTAAGAAAATGTTATGTGGCAGCATAATGCATTGTGGCAGGTTCTTGCTGGTTCTATTTTGGACTACCTAATGTTTTGGGCAGTGACTATAATTTTACATTTATGTAGAGAATGCCTATTCCCAATAGAAAATTATACATTCAAGCACGTTTGTTGCCTAAATGGATATCATTTCGAGATGTGGTCCTACGCTTTATTAAGGACGCGTTTACAAAATGGATAGGTATAGAATCGCACTACTACATTGACAAAAGTCACACACACACTAGTGTACGCACGGTTGGCTGTGGGAATCGTAGTCAAATGAAATTATTTTGATAATTTGAAAGATTGAATTTGTTTTTCATTTCTTATACCTACCTCAGAAATATACTTCGATACGAAATATGAATACCTGCTCCAAAGACTGCTTGGCACTGGAAGCCCTCTACTGGTAGTGAGATGTTAGCTCTGGACTTTGAACTGGTTTTGTCAGTTATAATAAGACCTTACCTACCTGCGGACTTGATGGAGTGACCTGAAGGTGTAATTTGGTGATTACAACAATAGGAACTCCTAGACTAGTGGAACTAGGTGTGCCGAGTTTGGGTTCGTTTTGTTGGTTATGATGAGACCTTACCACCGGACTTGATGGAGTGACCTGAAGGTGTAATTCGGTGATTACAAGTGGAACTCCTAGACTAGTAGAACTAGGTGTGCCGAGTTTGGGTTCGTTTTGTTAGTTATGATGAGACCTTACCACCAGACTTGATGGAGTGACCTGAAGGGGTAATTCAGTAACTACTGCTGGAATTTCTGAACGAGTAGAACTAGATGTGCCGAATTTGGGCTCCGTTTTGTTAGTTATGACGAGTCCATACCTCCGGACTTGATGGAGTGACCTGAAGGTGTAAATCGGTGATTGCAACTGGAACTCCTAGACTGGTGGAACTAGGTGTGCCGAGTTTGGGTTCGTTTTGTAGGTTATGATGAGACCTTACCACCGGACATGATGGAGTGACCTGAAGGTATAGTTCGGTGATTACAAGTGGAACTTCTAGACTTGTAGGACTAGGTGTGCCGAGTTTGGGTTCGTTTTGTTAGTTATGATGAGACCTTACCACCAGACTTGATGGAGTGACCTGAAGGGGTAATTCAGTAACTACTGCTGGAATTTCTGAATCAGTAGAACTAGGTGTGCCGAATTTCACTCCATCAAGTCCGGTGGTAAGGTCTTATCGTAACTAACAAAACGAAACCAAACTCGTCACACCTAGTTCTACTAGTCTAGGAATTCCATTTGTAACCACCTGATTACACCTTCAGGTCACTCAATCAAGTCCGGTGGTAAGGTCTCATCGTAACTAACAAAACGAACCCAAACTCGGCATACCTAGTTCTACAAGTCTAGGAGTTCCACTTGTAATCACTGAACTACACCTTCAGGTCACTCCATCAAGTCCGGAGGTATGGACTCGTCATAACTAACAAAACGAAGCCCAAATTCGGCACACCTAGTTCTACTCGTTCAGAAATTCCAGCAGTAGTTACTGAATTACCCCTTCAGGTCACTCTATCAAGTCCGGTGGTAAGGTCTCATCGTAACTAACAAAACGAACCCAAACTCGTCACACCTAGTTCTACTAGTCTAGGAATTCCATTTGTAACCACCTGATTACACCTTCAGGTCACTCAATCAAGTCCGGTGGTAAGGTCTCATCGTAACTAACAAAACGAACCCAAACTCGGCACACCTAGTTCTACAAGTCTAGGAGTTCCACTTGTAATCACTGAACTACACCTTCAGGTCACTCCATCAAGTCCGGAGGTATGGACTCGTCATAACTAACAAAACGAAGCCCAAATTCGGCACACCTAGTTCTACTCGTTCAGAAATTCCAGCAGTAGTTACTGAATTACCCCTTCAGGTCACTCTATCAAGTCCGGTGGTAAGGTCTCATCGTAACTAACAAAACGAACCCAAACTCGGCACACCTAGTTCTACCAGTCTAGGAGTTCCAGTTGCAATCACCGATTTAGACCTTCAGGTCACTCCATCAAGTCCAGAGGTATAGACTCGTCATAACTAACAAAACGGAGCCCAAATTCGTCACCCCTAGTTTTACTCTGCAAGAAGTTCAAATAGCGGTCACGAAAGTACACCTTCAGGTCATGCCATCAAGTCCAGAGGTAAGGTCTCATCATAACCAACAAAACGAGCCCAAACTCGGCACACCTAGTTCCGCTCGTCCACGAGTTGCAGTAGTAGGTAAGTTTATATATCCTACTTATTTTTTAGCTAAATAAAAACTGTGAGTATAAAAATAATAATTTTATCACTTGTCAAGTTCTTATGTTTCCAATTTGTTTTTTTCTAATATTTTGTGTATGTACAGCGATCTTTTCAGAATGAGCCGCTGCAAACAGGCGATACAGTGTCCACTCACGACGGCGGCCGAGCACGGACTGTGGTTTCATCGAAATCTTTGTACAATAAATCAAAGCAGGCACCAACAATAAAATAGCCCTTATTGCAATACATTATGATTCATCCATATTACCAAAATATGTGAAAAAATGTGCATCAGTTTTTATTTTTTTTACGACTATTTGTGACATTTTGTTAAAAAATAAACCCAGGGTTTTTTAATTGAATATGTCTGTCATCTTATAGTATTTTTTAAATTTTTAAATATGTTGATAATAGACCAAAACATCTACCGAAACACAAGCCGGTATCGTTAATTTTGTAGAAAATGGCAACGAAAGTTCGTTTTTACAATATAAAAAACTACTATTTTCAACAAAAGAGTTACAGACATTTGCAGATGAAGAACCAATCTATACATGGTAGTTTTTACTTATATTTGATTTGGTTTAGTTTTGTCACAAAATCTACCGAAAAACACCCTAATTTTGGTTGATTTGCAAACGCGTCCTTAAGCGAAATTTCTTGGACCGGCTAAAAATGACCTATTGTTGAAATGACTGACTCTTTGGCCTATTAGTCACAAGGTTAAGTTACTATTGGATTTTTCTGTCTAAGAAATTTCTGTAGAAGCCCGGACTCATGAATTAGGCGGTGTTTCATCATCGCGCTTCGGATAGCACGTATAGCTGATGGTCCTGCGCCTGATCTCTCTCCAGTCGTATCGGATCGTCGTCCCATAGGACTATGAGAGTGCACCTGTGCTTAGCATACGCCAGATCACAATAATCCTGTCCTGCTTAGATGGCTAGATTCTGTTGTGACCGGCCGCCGTGATGGAACATTTTGTTAGACATTATTATTGTTTCTTGTGCACACACTGTAATACGTCACAATTAGCATTATTACCACGATTTGTCTATGTCATAATATATTACACGCTAACATATTAGTTTTTGTTAAGTCATAGTTAGTATTCAATGCCAGAGATATTGCTATAGCATGCTTATTTAAAAACTTTACATTATACAGAAATATACAATAACGTTGTGCATCACATATTAAATGTCGATTTTTCTAAAATAATATAAGTAGGGCCTTATTAAAAATGCTTATGTACGAGTATATCAACACCAAGTGTTCTCGAGCACATTGCAAGTCTTTCCAAAAGTACGCCAAGAAGTACAATATGGACAATAGATAGGAGGAGACCTTTGTTGTGTGGTGAATTGATGTAATATTGCCTGTTAGTAGTCTGTGATTATTGCTATCATTGTCATCAGCACTTACCTGTTTTAGTCTACAGGATTGGATACTACAGTCCATGTTTTTAAAATTTTGTTTGCTAAATAAAATAATTAATTCTATTACGCTTATAAGGAATGATTATGGTATGACCATAAAAAAATAAATACGTAATGTTACCTACTAGTTTGTGGGATAATCTGTAGGTATATATAAACCTGTAGGTTGCTTTACTACTGCTAATCCATATTGACATAGACTAGTTTTTTACCTTCTGTGTACTAAATATCGGGAATTTGTCAATAAAACAAAAAATACAAATTATTCATCTAAATTTATTTTATCGCCTTCAAAGTAGGCCCCATCGCTTGCAATACAACATCTCCAACGCTTCACCCAGTCTTCCATACATTTTTCATAGGCTATTTGCGGTATGGCCTTTAGCTCATTCAGCGAATTTTTTGTTATGGCTTCTATCGACTCAAAACGTTTTCCTCGAAGTGGTAATTTTAACTTGGGAAATAAAAAAAAGTCAGACGGAGCCATATCAGGTGAATACGGTGCTTGGTCGAGAACTTTTGTTGAATTTTTCGCTAAAAACTCTTTCTTTTAAAGCTGTGTGTGATGGTGCATTATCATGGTGCAGCATCCATGAGTTGTGTTGCCACAAATCTGGACGTTTTCGGCGGATACTCTCACGCAAACGCTTCATGACGCCTAAATAATATTCTTTATTCACTGTTTATCCCTTTGGAAGGAATTCGGAGTGAACCACACCACGGTAGTCAAAAAAAAACTGTCAGCATCACCTTGATTTTGGAGCGACTTTGCCGCGATTTTTTGGGTTTCGGCTCGTTTTCGAGACGCCATTCTGAAGACTGTTGGCTTGTTTGCATGTCGTACTCATAAACCCATGTCTCGTCGCCAGTTATTATACGTTTCATAAAGGTTGGATCCGTAGAAGCTCGGGAAACCATGTCTTCAGCGACATGCTTTCGCTGCGCTCTTTGAACAAAATTGAGCTCTTTTGGAACTAGTCGAGCGACGACGCGTTTCATGCCTAAAATGTCAATGAGAATGTTGTGGACGGACTTAAAAGATATGTTTACCTCACTAGCCAACTCTCTCAGACTCATACGTCGATTTTCGAGCACTAGCTTCTTGATTTTGTCGATGTTTTCTTTGGTCGTAGCGGTTGAAGGTCTACCAGAACGAGGCAAGTCTACTACTTTTTTTTTTTTTTTTTTTTTTATAGAAGAGGGGGGCAAACGAGCATGTGGCTCACCTGATGTTAAGTGACTACCGCCGCCCGTGATCAACCGCAACACCAGGGGAATTGCAGGTGCGTTGCCGGCCCTTTAGAAAGGAGTAAGCTCTTTTCTTGAAGGTCCCCAGGTCGTATCGGTCCGGAAAAATCACCGGTGGTAAATTATTCCACAGAGAGGTTGTACGCGGAAGAAAACTCCTTTTGAAACGTACAGTGGTGGACCGCCAAGCATCCAGATGGTGTGGATGGTATCGGGACGTTTGCCGTGTAGTGCGTTCACGAAATTTGGCGGCTGGGATTAATCCGAACAATTCCTCAGAGCACTCCCCGTGATAGATGCGATAAAATACGCAAAGAGATGCAACATCTCTTCGCAGCGCCAGTGAATCGAGCCGATCGGAAAGCACTCGGTCGTCGACGATTCGAGCCGCTCTGCGCTGGATGCGGTCAAGTGGAAGGAGCTGGTACTGGGGAGCCCCAGCCCAGAGATGGGAACAGTATTCCATGAGCGGCCGAACCTGCGCCTTGTAAAGTTGCAGGCGGTGTGCCGGCATGAAATACTGTCCCGCTCTGCTGAGCACGCCAAGCTTTTTAGAGGCCAATTTGGCCTTCCCTTCCAAGTGACCACGAAACTGCACGTCACTCGATATGTCGACGCCGAGGATTCCGATACTGGCTGAGGCAACAAGGGGAGTGCCTTGAAACTGAGGGGATACGACAAAGGGGTTCTTTTTAGCGGTTAACGCGCAAACTTGTGTCTTCTGGGGGTTAAACTGGACTAGATTTAGTCGCCCCCAAATCCGAGACTCTGTCCAGCAGAGACTCGACTTCAGACACAAGTTTGTCCCGGCACTCAGAGACGTTTTCCCGAGAAATATTTGCTCGGCCGGTGTAAAGAGCATCACCACTACTACTTCTCGGCCTTCTTTAAAAGCCTTATACCATTCATAAGCCCTTGTTTTCGATATACACGATTCGCCGTAGGTATTTCGCAACATTTTTAGCGATTCACCACATGAAATATCATTCGAAACACAAAATTTAAGGCACACTCTTTGTTCAACAATATTTTCCATTGTAAAAATCGCCGAGAACTCAAAACTATGACCAACAAAAAGTGTAGTTTAAAACAAATTAAATGACAGATCCCGCTCAAACTTTGCGCGCTAAATCAGTACAGTGCTACCACATGCAGTAAAAAAATTAGAACGACCTCTTTTACGCGGGTCTTTTTATTGACATATTCCCGATACTTTTTACACAGAGTAGTATACTTCAGTATTAAAAAAATCCTTTGCCGGTAAAATTTTAACATCTATGAGCAAACGTACCTGTATGTCAAATGATTGCTGTTTGTTTCGGAATTCTTGGAGAGCAGAATGTAAATTCTCTTTAGATTTAGATGAAAATTTGTAAGAACTAGGCGATGGCGTTTCATCAGCAACTTTACCCTCGTTAATCTGGTACCCCATATCCAAGTTCAAAGCAAAGTTTGGATTGTTCGATAATCTCCTTCTACGTAGTTGGTATCTTGATTTTTCTTCCATATTCTTCTGATCATCTATGACAGGAATTAGAAATTTAATCATGTAAAAATTTACGCTAAGTTACTGTAATTTTATAACAAAAATATTTTTGCTTCATAGGGGAGATATTTGCCATAGTTGCCATGCTTGGCAAGCGGGTTGGCAACCGCATTTTTTAATTTTAGTCGTTATTACGAGTAGGAAGACGCTGCTGCCCATCTCCTGATTAAGTTTCCTCTATCGTCTCTTACGATAGCCATAGGTTGGGGTATTGTATATTCTAACACCGCCACTAAGCTGGGTGGACCATGGAAGGCCATGCTTCTTCGAATGCCAATTATTAAAATGTCGTAGTTATTGCCATGTGATGACAAATTCCTTCTACTTACACAAACACCCATCGAACTGAAAATCACAGACGCGGCGGCGAATCGCTCGCGCTACTATTTTGGCAGGACGGTCCCTCGCTTCATTGATTTCGGGAATCGAAGACGGTAAAATAAAGTGGGTGTACCATGGAAGGCTACTCTACCAAATAAACAGTTATTATTCGGTTATTTACTGGATAAATGAAACTAACAAATATTTAAGTAATGCTTTGTTTTATTACGAAACATATAAACCACTTCTTTTTATTTTAGGTTTAATCGCTATTTATTAAACTTTAATGTTTTGTGTTTATATTATTCCAGTACGTTATTGTGTTACCGTGTATCTTCCAGTGCGTTATTTACACTTTTTTACGACCTTACCCACTTAAGTTAAAAAAGTGGTTTATATGTTACGTAATAAAACAAAATATTACTTAAATATTTTTTAGTTAATTTATCCAGTAAATAAACGAATAATAACCGTTTATTTGTTAGAGTGGCCTTCCATGGTACACCCACCTTATATGGTCTATTATATAACTTCGTAGTACATTGTAACAAAAGCGATGCGTCTTTATAAGTTGTAGAATGGCCCAATTTATCCCTAACAGCGATCTTTTCCACGTAACCTCTGGATGGACAGAAACTAACAACACAAGTAGACGCTGGTGTACTTTATTAAAAAAAGTAATATCATACAACTACTTCGTCACATTGATAACTACAGAGTCAATGGCCTCTGCTGTTATCAATGTCACAAAAGCTTGTTTCCTGCCGCCCGGTTCCAAGATTCAGGACGCCGATAGTTTAGGTAATATCTTTTTACAGTGAAAATAATGGTAATTTAAAAAAAATTAAAAAGATAAGCCCTGCTTTATAGTTAGTTCAGTTATTATGTAAAGTTTCATGATCTTATTTAAAGTATTTTATGAATAACAGCGGTTTATTGTTCAGTTTGGAGGTAACTTTGGATTTTTTTCTATCGAGAAAATTTTACGGAATCATGTTTTCGTCTAACATAGTGCTTAAAATCCTCAACTTTACCATATATTTATTTCAAAATTAATGCTGCAATATTTTCGGTATAACGGAGGATCATGCTAAGCCATTTGAGCTTATATTATATTAAATGCTAATATGTAAACAAAGAGATTTCAATATTATATTTACTTGTCTTTGGTAATAACTAATATCGTACCTACGCAATATTTCTTTAAAATAAAAACGTACGGAACTAGATTTTCATTATATCTACAACATTTACAAAAATTATGAAAATTATGTTTACGGGGGAGAAGGTGGGGGGAGGATTTACAGCTTCACAATCCTCTTAACGAGACAATCCACCTTGGTTTTAGATGTAATACTAATACTTCTACTCTATCTTTGAGTCCCGTTTGATGGGTACTCTCTCCTTGCAGGTAATCTCTTATGTTTTGTTCTGAAGGACGTTGATATACAGTATTGTACGTAATTACAGGCTGTAACTCCGAGCATAGCCCACTTTATAACTCGCTGGGCGACTGAGCTTCCTCATACGGCTTGCAGTGAAGGACCACGTCTCAGATCCATAGGTCATTGAAATAATACTGGTTTTTACGGATTTATCGCGTATATTTAACTATAAATACCCGATGTTTCGAGCGCTTTACAGCACCCATGGTCACGGGGAGGACTGAGATGTTCAACGTCCAAATGTCATAGTTAACAGAGGTTACCATAGATAAAAATTTAACTTTTGTTCCGATCTACCAGTATGAACTTATGGTATTATTTTATTTATTATAGGATCCCAAGCAGATGGTAGCACCCAGCCATCTTCTCTATTGAAATTAGGATGTTTTTTGATTTCAATAGCCTCGCGAATCATCCTTGGAAGGAATCGGTGTTCTTTACCGAGGATTTGTGGTCTATCAAATCTGATGTAGTGACGGGGGCGATCCTGTACGTGTTCACAAACTGCAGACTTCCCGGAGCGTCGATTCTTCACATCAGCTATATGTTCGATGAATGAGTGAAGAATCGACGCTCCGGGTTTTGAACGATTTTGTAACTCGAGCTGAAAGTTCTCGGGGTTTTTGATTAGAGCATGCGGGGGACGGAGCGTTGACTTCATTAGTCGTGACCTCTCCATCTTCACGTTTAGGTTCAGTGTGTCTCACCATTCGATGATCGCTGCCAGTTTTCACCCTTGCGATCACTGAACAGTTGGCGTCTGGTCGTCATAATGAAGTCAATCTCATTTTTTGTCTAACTGTCGGGGCTCGATTCGGTCCACTTTCAGTGGGGCCGCTTTTGGAAAAAAAGAGTCTCTCTTTCTCCATAAAGTTGACGAGTTGATGGCCCGCTTGGGTTTTGTTGCTCTATTCCGAATGTCCCTACTTTCAGCTCACCTTTTATCTTGTTACTCTCTTCGGACCTCGGACAATCCTATAATATACCAGCACAACTTTTCTACCTCTTCTTGCAGTTCCAGAATCTTCCCGTCAGTCCTCAAGGCGCGTGCGTTATTATGTTGCCAGGTCTTAGGTGGCAGTCGAACCTTCATCGGATATTCTTACCATACCCGCCGTTACCATAAATACTACATAATACCATATTAGAAATAAATATATATAGTAAAATCCCAATCCTAATTCTTATATGAAGACAAGGTATTTCCAGGAATTTTTTGGAAAAAATAAATTATCGGGAGTGTTTAATGGATATAGGTAATATAGGTTGGTACACAAAGGCAGCAAGTCAATTAAACATTTTTTTGCAATGAAATTTATAAATAAATGAATATACCAAATTTTTTCCTAGGTGGTTGAACTTCTTTTCTGCTTAGGAAGTCGTATCGGCAGGTTCCACCCTCGTACCCCGGCAACACATGTTGGCCGAGCCTCAGCCAACGTGAACGTAGGCAAATTGATACAAGACGATGCTACAGTCTGCACGTTGGTCAAGTTCGAAAGAGACCAATACCAAGGCCAATGTTCACGAGTTTTTGTAGAGCTATCCACATGTTGGCCGTAATTAGTTGTCATTGAGAATTGGAACGATATGGACGACGTAAAAGTTATTGCAGTGTATGCTATTAAAGTGTGCATTTAATTATTACATCAGTGTACTCCGCAGTAAAGTTATTAAAAACAAGAGGCAGAACAGAAGTTGGATGTTGAGTATTATAATTAAAACAATATCTCACCGGGACTGTCTCTAAGCTGTAACCGACATGGCCGATGCCCTATATAGTATATTATCTATGTGGCCGACTAAAGCCAGCTATACATGTTGGCCGAGCGAAGGTGAGCACCAACGTATAGACTGCCCATTCGCCCAGCACGCCATTGCTCGTAGACGCTCGCCTAGCTGGCAGAGTGCAGGCGAACGCCAACGTGTATACGGTTCGTTTGCCGTGCTTTGCCGCCACTCGGGATCGCTCGCAACGACTCGTCTACTTCGGAACAGTGTCGGTTTTTCTGTACAAATCAAAGGCGCTCGCCTGCACTCGGCAAGTCGCGTCCACATGTTAGTCGCCCGTGTCAGTTACGGCTTGGCGTCCGTACCGGTGAGATATTGATTTAGTTGAGTTGCAACTTCAAAATGATTTCGACAATTTCACTATACTAACGAGGTCATCTTTAAGTTTTTTAACTTTACTGCGGAGTACACTGACATAATAACTATATGCACTCATTAAATATATAACAGAAGCTGCAATAACTTCTACGTCGTCCATATCAAACCAATTCTTAATGACGACTAATTGCCGCCAACATGTGGATAGCTCCACTTTGGTATTTGTTGGTCTCTTTCGATCTTGTCCAACGTGTAGACTGTAGCACTCGCCTTGTATCAATTTGCCTACGCTCGCGTTGGCTGAGGCTTGGCCGACATGTATAGCCGGGGTAACATGTGGACGCATGTGTTTAATTTGTGCAGAATAACCGACACTGTTCTGAAGTGGACGAGTCGTAGCGAGTGATCCCGAGTGTCGGCAAGACACGCCAAACGAATATATGTTGGCGCTCGCCTGCACTCGGCCAGATAGGCGAGCGTCGACGAGCAATGGCGAGACTGAACAAATGGGCTGTCTACACGTTGGTGCTCGCCTTTGCTCGGCCAACATGTACAGCCGGCTTTACCTATATCTGCCGCCAAATTGCGGTGCTTCCATTGCTGTGTTCCGATCGGATATTCCGACATTCCATCGGATCTGCAGACATCTATGGAGTGCAGTAGCCACTTACCAACAGATGGCAGACCAGTATGTTCACTTCAGATTTATAAAAAATATGTGCCTTGTTTCTTTTATAAAGATACCTAATTCGAGTTTTATATCTCCATCTATGAAGATAAATCAAATTGTTTATAGGAACAGGCCTTATCAATAATTTCTCAGCATTTAGAAAACATACACTAGTGTAGTGTGCGGTAAAATCAAAATAAAACAGGGGATTTACACCCGCATTTTTTTGCGCCCGAAGCAAATAAGGGCAACCCTCCGTTAGGACGAAAGAGGCGGTGAATGCTCATAGCATACCATGCAGCCGGCTCCGTGGTTATGTGGAGACTTTTATCCACTAAACACCACCTTTTGTGATTGGCTTAATGATCTAGCGAGAGATCTTTAAGCCGTAATCTGACGCGACCCTCCTTGGCTGAAAGGAGGGCGCAGGTACACCCGCATTGTCGTTTTCTTATATAAACATTTAGAGCCTGCGTTCATAGACGGCACGGCGTGTCAAGAGATTTTATTTTAACGAAATTAGCTCCGACATTTCTTTATTTCAACACGAATAGATCGAAACGTCTCGTTTGACACCACGGCACGTCACAGCATTCCATGGGATGCCGCGGCACGCCGATAAATTACATAAAACCCATAAGTTACATCATGTTGTTAAAGAAATGCGACTGCTACGTAATTGAAACAAGGTCGAATCTAGCCCGTTGCGGCGGTAATCTCAGCAACTCGCGCGGGCGCCCGGTACACGAGCGCGTATTGACTTGTTAGGCATGCCGCGGTATACCACAGGATCCTTTGGCATACCGAAGTAAGCCTTGCCACGTCGTACCATGTCGTGCCATCTGCGAGCGCAGGCCCCTAGTAAACTTTTGCAGCTTCATTAGAAAAAAAAAAAGAGTTCAAACTGAGGTTTAGACCCAGATCATTTAATGTTTAATTCTGTAATATGACAGTAGAGTAATAGTAAGGAAAATTATTATTTGCGTCTCGATAGTGAACTTAATAATATCTGTGTTGCGAGACGTTTCGGTCTATTCATGTTGCATTAACGTTTGTGCAAAATACTTCAAAACGAATTGTTAGAAAATAGCATTCTAAATTTTTTGAATTTATATACATTTTTAATTTTTAGAATAAAGGTTACAAGCGAACACTCAGTCCAGCTGATGGTAAGTAGATGCTGTGGCCCATAAATACTACTTACATCTGTTTTCAAATTAAGAATCAAATTGCAGATGCGTTGTCACTTTGAGCACTGGGAGGGAATGCCTCGTTTCCAGTAAAAAAGAGTCACCAGTTCTCTACACCTTCTCTAAGGAGAACGTCCGTGGTCATTCCTCGATCGATTCGACTTATTAGTGCTTCAATTATATTATGGCTGCAGTACGAGAGGAAAGAAACCGACTCCTTACTCTGTGGCTACAGCGTGGTTCAAACACGTGTAAAATATGCAAATATCATTCCACTTTTAACGACTAGATTTCTATTTATTGTTAATTTATGTGTTATTGTAGTAATAGCATTTGTTCTTTGGAATATTGCAGTCGTTATGTATGGTGGTAATTATATTTAATAAAAGTAAACAATATAATAGTTTTAAAGAAAACAAGTGTAGGTAATTACAAAAATAAGGAAGATATCAGTGTTATGAATTACAACACCTATTATTGCTATACGCAATTGTCTTCCGTCTATGTAAATTTAATACTAACTTCACGATGCCACTCTTTCAGCGCTCGTTATCCGTTTTTTAGCTAAGTCCTTTCGGGGTAAAAACTTACGTTTATAAAAAATTGAATTTATTACGAATCTATTGTTATGTATTGGATTTATCCAAATCTATCAGTAACGTAACTACAAATTTTCCAAATCAAAATCTCTAAAAAGTTTTAATTTATTATAAATATAACATTTTTACGTAATACCGACATGCTGCAGCTATATTACGTGTATAGTTGTACGTAGCGAGAATGGATCGGCTTGACCGGGGAAGGACCACGCTCTCACATAATACCAGCGTAAAATAGCAGCTTAACGCTGCTGTGTTTCGTATGGTAAGTGTAGAGATCCGGAGACCCTTTTTAATGGAAACGTGGCATTCCACCTTAGTACTTAGGGTGAAAACGCATGTGTACTTTGATTCGTTATCGAGGATAGATGTAGATGTCTATGGGCCACATAAACCACTTACCATCAGATGGACTGTGTGCTCGTTTGCCACCCTTATACTAAAAAAGACTTGTATTTTTGTGACATTCCGTGGGGGACGCCTGTTGGTATGACCACGATAATACTTATAAACGGTTATTCATAAAAAAATAACATAGGTAAATTGTAAATACATATGTAAAATTAAACGTTAACAATTCCTTTATGAAATGTTTAATATAAACCAGTGGTACTATAGGAGGCCGTCTGTTATATCAATTTCTGTTAAACCTAAACTTAGCCATAAGATTCAAAATCTGTTTAAAAAACACACCTAAAAAGTTTTAAAAAGTAAAGGTTCCATATTATTATTTTTTATTTCCAATCCAAATATCAATTTAACAACAGTAATATCAAACAAAACATGATATTATTTACCTTTGCCCTCCATGATTGTAAATGACAGTCAAACAGATTCGCAAAAAAAAACTTGGCTGCTATTCTATTACAGATTTCACTCTTATTTTTGTGAATTATACAAAAATATGGTGATCTTTAATACGTCCATCGGTCGACTATGACAGAAACTAAGTAGATCAGGGATTGATCGCAAACAAGAAGCCATAGAATATTAACTTACGATTTTCTCCATCGCTTATCAACATTTTTGTTTTTGTTTTCTTTTCTGCTGCTTTTAATAATATTATTGCGAAATGGCCCTTTGGTGGGCTCAAGTTGGTTCTCTTCTATTGAAAGGACGTTGAAGCTGTAAGGGCTGTTACATGTTGTAGAAAATTGTTTTAAGTCGCTCGATAAATCCGTTTTTAGCTTGGTACTATAAAACCACAAGCAGCAGTGTAAAACCACAAGTCTACATTTCTATGATAATATGTATATCATCGATCAATAACGTAAACCTGAAACATTATGTATGTATCAAGTATGTACGTCTCGTAACTCGGCACTGGTTTCTTTTTTGAGAAGATTTTTGAAGCAGGTTTGTTTAAACCGCGCTGCGTCAATACGTGTTGGTGCACTTCTCATGTCCTCAATTTTTAAATTTCTTCGATTTAGTTTCTCCAAAATGTTTACCGTAATCGTTGAGCATGTTGTAAATCAGCAATTAAAATTGCAATTAACAATTTCATGGGTCGCCACGTCAGTGGGGACAAAACCTGGGTTGCTGTCGCACTATGAACTTATCCCCTGGATTAATCCGACTGCTTTAAAATATTATCAACATAGTAACTTATGGTGAGTTCTCGTTTTACAATCATAATTGAATAAAAAATTATGTGCCGAAAATGTTTAAGTCCTCTGGGTTTTGTAGGGCTTCCTTGCTGCTTATTCCAATAGTCATTTTTATCTTGCCGTGTGTGTGACCATATGTACAGCTAAAGGAATCTAATTAAAGAAAAGATCAATGAAAGCTAATTGTGAAGGTTAAAACATTAATATTTTTTTTATATTGGGTCGTATAGTTCGAGGGGACTTATACATTTTACATGTTTACGATCTCGTGAAAATATTTAATTAAATTATCATGATGTAATTATAATGATATAAACGACCTACTTTAACTCAATGATGAAAATAACTATTGTAGCCCATTACAAGTCTACTTCTGATCATAGGCCATCTCCAAAATCTACCACAAGTAACACAATCTGACGAACCCACACAAGTTGACGGCTCCGTGGCGCAGTGGCTTAGCAATGAGTTACAGTGCTAAGAGCCGTGGGTTCGATATTCCGCACGGAACAAGTATTTGTATGGCCTACAAGTAATTGTTCCCGGTCTGGATGTTTGTCCCTGTGCAATTTATGTTTGTAAACTGCCCCCACGATGCAGGAGAAAATCCTAGCGAGGAAGGTAACGTTTAAAAAAAGTAACAGTCCTTAATCTGACCGTACTTCAGCCTAACCATTCACTGGTTTGTGTTGGTTATTATGGTTCCACTATTGTTTCATCATCGTCACAAGTCCATTCCTGACCAGAGTCCTCTATATACAATAACCTACCCTCTCAATCGGCTGTCGGTTCGCTGTGTTATCAGCCGGGACATTGACACCAGACTACTGATCCGTTACGCTATGTCGGGATATTCCGTTTATCCACTCTAAAAAGTCCACCCTGAGACTTATACTGCCTTATTGTACTGTAATAATAATAAAGAATATATTTAAATTATTTTACTTTAGGATGGGTATAGAGTGAATAAACGGAATAAGCCACTATGTCGGTTAGTTTGGTTATACCACGAATCTTTGATATCTCCCCATGCTAATCCTATTGGGTTTAATTCCGGACGATAAGGTGGCAAATGAATTACATTGACCCTTTTCTTTCAATATAATATCCATTTTGAACTGTTTTCGAAATTTATATTTCCATGATAATATTCTGTCTTCGTAGTACGCGTAGGTTTTATTTATTGTTAATTCTGTAACCTTTCTTCTTATAACACCTTTAGTAAAATCGTCAATTTCTATCTTCTTTTTTCTAGTAGTCTCTTTGCGTTTTCTTGGTGAAGAAAGCTTCACATTACTTTTTCCCGCATTGACAATGTGTCGTACAATTTATTCTGACAAACAAATCAAATGAAATTTTATATACATTAAAATCACCTTGTAGAATTGGGATCTGATTTTATTACCTTGTTTAATTGATAGAATCAGGCGTTACTTTGCGAAAATCCATTATAATAAAGATATTAGTAGTTACTTTGCAACTATCCGCTCAATCAAATGAAATTATGTGTCTTACCTATTTTGAAGAGCACCCACTTCCAACACCACAACTCCTAACACCACTATTCTATAAAAGACACACCATCGAATATAATACGACACGTGTTTAGCCTCTACACGAGACATCTTCAGGTGATGTAGACTCTACGGCAGCTGACCGCTAAGACTGCTTCCTAGAATAGTGGTGTTAGAAGTGGATGCTCTTCAAACTAGGGAAGACACATCATTTCATTTAATTCAGTGGATGGTGGCAAAGTAACTATTAATATCTTTATTACCTTGTTTAGTTCGAGCCCTAATCGTAGTACTAGTCGTAGGTTGGAAATGTCGTGTGCGATTTGTTTAAAGGGTCCTGCCCAAATAACACGGGTTGACGACAGCGTTGTCGATGTCCGACTTCCGACTAATCTCGCGTCATTTGACGTGACAAAAACACGCCTCTCCCGCACCACTGTTCGCTATGGCTTAAATTTCATAGTTCCGTACGCAATACAATACAACACGCGGGTACGCCGCGTTCGCCGCCGAACGCAAGGTCATCATAGGTTCACGTCTTACCCAAGGATCACGTTTGATACGGAAAAATCCTAGTTTAGCGATGTCCACAATATACTTTATATAAAAAAGAAACAAAATAAGACATATGCATAAAACATGCGACAGATTAATGTAATAATTTACTGTTATTCTGTCGATGTCACTTACATGCCTACAAGTTATCAAGCTTAATACTACAGCTACTGCTACGCCAAGTCATAATAAATTTAATTAATTAATGTAATGTTAAATTTAGTAACCGTTATAAACCGTAACTGCGGTTGCCAACAGCCTGGTAAGTGTTCCAACGACGTCAGTCTGAACGAAGTTACAATGGCTCTCCAGCAACTTAAGAAGTGGTGGTGGTACGCCGGAGACGTGGAGCAGAAGTGTGACAGTTTTATTCTCAAGAAAAGTTATGAAACCCCTTTGTAGATTTGAAAACCGATTTCCCTTCTGAACCGCGTCACAGGTTATTTTAAGAGTTATTCCAAATCGTTGTACATTCTGAATTTTCGACGACTTCCAGCCTCCCGGGTATACTGGTTTCCAAAAGTCTTCAATACCATAGACCGCACAACCCTTTGGCAGATCATACAAGAGATAGAGGAGTATAATTAGCTGTTATGTCTGGTGTATGTGGGTTATAAGAGAGAGCCCGAAATTTGGGCTGTGCTACAGAACTTTCACGGGAGCTAAGTTGACAGTCGGTATACCGAGGTGCATACCGAGTTGTGTTGTATTGCTTCGTGTCTATTCAAATACAGAACAAAACACAAAACCTATTTAATTGAAGTGAGGTTTAAGATAAAGTGACGTAATATCCCCGAAATTCTTCACAGCTGCATTAGAAAATGTTTCCAAGCGGCTAGAATGTTTACGGTGTTAACATCAATGGCGAACAGATAACTCATTTTCGATTTGCTGATGACATAGTCACAATGGTAGAATCCCTGGAGGATCTTAGCACTAACCTAAACGACCTTAGTAGTGTTTCCCAACTCGTCTTAAGATAGTATGGACAAGACAAAAATTTTGCCTAACGTATATGTTACACCTATGCTGGTAGTTGTGAGCATTATGCTCGAAGTTGTTGACAATTCATTGATATTTTACAAAAAATAAAAATAAAAATTTGGAATTAAGCGTTTGATTTTTTTTTAATAATTACTTTTACTTTTCCCCTTGAACCTGTGACCTTACGAAGTGACAAGATCAAAGATGCCTACTAAATTTATTGTTTTGTTTCCGTTCGTAAAGTAGGGTGGATATGATTTGTATTTCGATAAATTTTATTAATTCCAGACGTTGATTAAAACTGCTTTTACGGATTTTATCGCGTTTAATTTTAATTATTTTTATTTTTTATTTTTAATTCCCGACGTTTCGGGTGATTTCCAGCACCCATGGTCACGGGGGACTGAGGTGACTGATATCCCGATGTCATTGTTAAACCCGGAGTACCTTCAGCTTTTTTTAATTATTGTTTATGGTCCGAACTATGCAAAATGAACTGACTATGTCCTGAGGTCTTGCAGCGGTATGCTTGGGTTTAGTTTTAATTTTATTGATTATAGGGTCCCAAGCAGGTGGTAGTACCCAGCCTCCTTCTCTATTGAAATTTTGAATGATACGCTGTCGATGCGTCTAATGCAATATTGCAATTATCTTATAATATCAGTGACAGTAAGATAAAGTGCAGCTGGGGTGGCCCTAGAGCCACACTAAAGCCTTTATGGACCTAATAATATAGCACGTAGTGGATAATTAGACATGAAATTTTGTATTAAATAAATCGTCTGAAACGCATAATATCATTAATATTTGCTTAATATCATTATTGTCATCATTGGCAGCTAGTTAAACGGTACCGTTTAGTGAAAAGGCTAGGCTGTTAACTGAAAGGCTAATTAAGCTAGTTGGCTGCTACATATTTACAAGAACGGCCGTACGACGCCATGTAATTTAACAATTTTTAAAGTCATATTCTTCAAAGGCGCCGAAAGTAAAATATTGACCTAGAGTATAATAGTTCCGGTGCATATTAAACTACTTAAGTACTCTTTATTTTGACATGCAATTGCGCGCGCATAGGCTAAATAAATTCGACAGTATAGACTTGAAAACGTAATCATGATCGTGATCTGATTTTGGCCAGAATCGT